GGAGCCGGCTTCCCGGCCAATCAGGAAGCCAGGAGGTGTGTAATGACTCCCTGCCCAGCTTTCTGATTGGTCGGGAAACTGGCCAATCAGGAAGCCAGGCTGCGAGTCATTACATCCTGATTGGCCAGAAAGCTGGCTCCATGCTTCCTCGTCACCTCGTGACAAGGGAGCATGGAGATGGTTTGCTGGCTAATCGGGAAGCCAGGCGGCGAGTCATTACACGCCTCCTGGGTTCCTTAACCAGTTGACATCTTTGTGAGACATATTTACTATGAGACCACTGAAATGTTGATTATGACAAAAGTTTCCATGTTTTAAAACATTTGTATATATTGTTTGCTGTTTAAGGAACACAGCACGTTTTCTGCCTATTGGTATTATGAAAACTTTGCTTCAGCTATCGTAGTCTAGCCACAGACATCAGAAAGTCTTTAGACAGCTACTAGCATAAGCCTGCATTTCTTGCAACAGGCATGCATGCTTATGTACATTGTGGACATTGTTGATGCTGGTACTCATCTCAGGAGCACAATAGACTCTTGGCAAACAATTTCAATCTGCACCCTTTCCCCTTCTTTCATGAGGCTGGAAGGCTGGAATCTTATGTAACCTAGATATGGCCTGCCTTTCACTCTATCCTGCCCAGATAGCTGATGATGATATATTCTATATCTTTCTTAATATGAACCTGCAGTAGGAAAGTATTGAGGATGCCACTGGTGACTTCTGATTCTGAAAATATGGGTTTCTGGCTATCATGGTGATCCTTACTTTTCTGAACTTTTTTATATGCATACTTGTCCAAGAACAATATATCAAAGGCCAGAGACAGACAGGCAACTAACATTTTCAGAAGAAGGTCAGCAAAGGCAGCCCAGATACAAAAGAGTTAAATGATCTAGCATACACCTGGCATTTGTGTTAACTATGTAGTCTCACAAAAAAATGTTTTGTTCAGTTTTGGATCCATTTGGATTTTTATTTCTTTCGTTTTTCGAATTACGGATCCAAAATATGATTGTTTTGTTTCGGAAGTCATATGACCATGCCTGTAATGCAACCCCAGACAGCCAAAAAAACCCCCATCTGATTGGCCATCGTATGGATCCGAATTTTCGTTAAACAAGCATCCAAATTCGTTCGCATTCGGACGCTTTAGAATTTGAATATTCAGATGCGTCCGAATGTCCACATTTAACGGAATTCATACAAATATCCATTTAGAACAAAAAGGAATTTACACGTCTAGTAATCGTAAGTGAGATAAGTAACAGAGAACCACCCATGTATCGGATTAAGTCTCTTCCTAGAATTGCCTTAACTTCCTATAAACTTCTAGAACATTCTCATATTTTATATACAATATATATTTATATATTTTTTAAATTGCTGTTTCATATAAATCAAGTCATTACATTACCTTATGCCTTAAAATGGACCTGAACTCAAAAAGTGTTATAGGGAACATTTAAACATGGTAATTGTGCCTAAGCAACATCCTGAAAATTGTATCTTTCTTGAATTCTTCCTAAAAAATAGCAGCACACTTCCTGGTACTCAAGTGTGCCTAGGTACTCCTGTGTCTACAGACTCATAGCTGTACACTAAGTGGCCAGATTATTATGACTACCCCATCAGTACTTCGTTGGGCCACGAGATGACTCCACAAGATGACTTCGTTGGGCCGCCTCGTGACTCCACGAGATGTTGAACGGTGATGCAAGGAATCTGACACTGCACTGTTGCCCTTCTGTTGTCTTGTACCAGTCTTGCCACTCTCCGTTCTGCCCTAACATTGACTAGTCGCTGACGGCCACATTTCGCACGTTCAGACCCAGATTTTCGGCTGACAGTCCAGTCTTTAAAGTACTTTAACAACAGCTTCTCTTGAACATTTAACGAATTCTGCTGTTTTGCTGACACTCGCTCCATGGCTCCGAGCGCCAACAATCATCCCACGTTCAAAGGCTGTTAAATCGCGTTGTTTACCCATATCTTCAGAAAAAAATCACTTCTACTGTCGTGGTAAACAACCTGCTTCGCTATTTACAATGGTCTGGCCCTCTAGCAACTTCAGCACGAAATCACAGCTAATTATAGCTAATTTGCCTACAAACGTCAGGTGGTCATAATAAACTGTCCACTCAGTGTACATCTGCAGTGTGAGATCTAAGACACTGCTGCCTCTGACTGCTAGTCTCACACTACAGACTATACTGAATGCTAGTCCTTTGCTCTCTGCCTGCCTTTTTGGCACAGCTTCCAGAGTTCAGTTCCTCTTTAAAGGAGGACTATGGGGTAAGTGTTTTTCCCCATAGTTCTCCTAAGGGTCACGGGAGGACATATACTAGCGTCCTCCCGTGACCCAAAGCTCACTATATCGCGAGCAACAGCTTGCGGTATACTGAGACCGCCGCAGCCGGGACGGATCCCGACATTACTGTCGAGATCCACCAAGCTGCATGATTGACAGCTGGCTCTGCCTATCTAGAGGCAGAGCCAGCTGTAACCGCCCCCTCCCCCGTCCGTTCCCCCACTCAGCGCTGAAGGATCGGAGAGGGGGGGAATCCCTGCAGGGAGCCGTGAGTGACAGTCAAGGCTATCTGCAGGGAGATGATTCAGAAGTGAGCGAGCGGCGGTATGTGTTCGCTCACTTCCCGATCTATTGAGCCGATGTGTGACAGTTTCAATGTCACACATCGGCTCGAACTATGAGGATGAGTGAAAATCACTCACCTCATAATTCTCCTTTGAGAAAGGGTTTTAGGGTAATAATTAGCAGATTAAAAATTACACTGGCCAGTGTACTGTTTACTGTCATACCGCTTTATAAATAATAATACAAAACAAACAAGTAAAGCACATCACACCTCACTTGTAGACAACATCAAACATTAATAGGGTCACTGAAACAGCAATATCTATATTTCACTTTTGTCTATCAGTGTGGAGGGCTGAGTTCAAGAACACTAAACTAGACAGGTCTGTCTAAGGGTAAGCAGCCTACATGAGTTCAAATCAGCTGTACTCTCTTCTAGCAAATACCAGAGTGGCCAAATTTCCATTCCACTGCAATGATATAAAACGAGTGGTGGTTGTGGAATGGAGTCACTTTTCATACACTGGATAGTGCACTACTACAACTGATTACTATATGCTTAATTTACAAAGGCTAGAGAAAATAAAGTAGTCCAAACAGCAACTTCAAGTTCCCATTTGCACACAACGCGTCACATTTTGCCACGTTAGTTGTGCATTAGTATTGGGCAGCCCAGTAACTTCAATGGGCTGACCTACAAGCAGCCAACGCGACAAAAAAAGCTCACACAGTAGTTTGAGCTAAGAGAATTGCATTTTTTGTGACTGCGTGTGTTCGTTTATTTTGCAGGTGTTAATACATGTTATCTTGCTTGCTGTGTTTGGGGTGCCATTACCAAATAATGGCACCACAAGCATGACAAGCGCATGTTGCATGAACGCACACAAAATTGCATGATTTTGTGGATGTTCACATGTGTGACTTTCAAGGATAGGGAATGAACCCTTAAAGTGTATCTATACAATTTATAGTGCAATATGGAAAGAAAGAGGAACTCCAGAACCCCTGTCAGGTTTTACTGCTATTTGGGGCTCTGTTATACTGATTTCTCCTCACTTTCTGTTCTGGGGACAACATTTTACCATACAGGGAGTGAGAGAAAATCAGCAACAGGGATACAGTCAACAATCAACGGACAGAGTTTCTAGAATTCACCTACTTGACTTAAAAAAAGCATTATACTTCTTTCTGTTACTGAGCAATTTTCCCTCACCGCATGTCCTACGGACAACCTTTTTTTTTACCAGACAGGAAGTGAAGTAATCTCTCCAATGGAGCTTCTGATGGGAATAAAAGCTGACAGGAGTTCTAACCCTTCTCCAATCTATCCAAAAGTAAAAAAAAAGTGTTGGCTATAGATATACTTTAACTATAACCAGTTGCTCTAAAGAATACGTTCACCTTCCCTTCTTTACGGTTTTCCCAGTAGTCGCTTAGGGGATCACCTTGTAAGATCACACAACATACACAACAAATGTTACTGAGACACATAAACATGTGTTTTGCTAGAAAATTTTTAAAAGTGCCATAATAATAGTGTTAAACAGCATGCAAACAAAATTGATGACGCAATGATTTTTATATTGGATAAAATGGGTTTTTTTTAGGGACAAGAATCAGTCCACCCAATATGTATCTTTTATCCAGGGGTGACTGATTTATACCCACTGGAATATTTTCATATTTATATGTCACTGGAGTCTCACTGCTGCATTCCCCTTAATGTAAAATAAATAAAGGAACACAGGCAGTAAAATGTAATGTCTACATCAGATATGTAAACTCAGGTGGCAAGGTCTCATTGCCAGAATCCTGCTCCCACAAAATATTTTCATACAAAATATAGGAAACTGATAATGCAGCCAGCTGATGTCCACCATGTACTGAATATGACTAGAGTTTTTGGCAGACTGCATCTTTTAAATCTACTGTAGCAATATTTTAATAAGGTCACATTAGACATAGTCTTAAAAAGTCAACCACAGCTGTTGGAAACTTGTAAACTGACAATGGCACAATATAGCAAACCTGAAGTACAAATTCAGTGCTGTCAGCACATAGCAAACACCTCTGGGTACCTGCGCATTAGGTCCGTTAGTATCCTGGTTCAGATGGATCAAGTACCTGGCTCCATAGCATATCATAGACCTAATTTCTGTCCTCTTACTGTTTGAGATGGCCACTGGTTAATAACAAGGAGGAGGAGGAGGAAGGGGGGACAGGCTTTCAACACATTGGCTCAGAATTACCTGCACACTTTAGAACACTAACACTAACAGACCTAATTTGCAGATACCCCTAGGTGCCAGCTATGTGTTTGCAGCACTTGATTAGGTAATTGTTTACTTGATTTAAAGAATATGCTGTGGTGGCTAGTATTGGGAACATATTAAGAAAAGTCTCACCTGCTGGCGATGCTTTGCCTGCAGTGCTGTCTGAAAGGCATCAGGTGATAGTTCATAGCATCCAGCAGTAACTTTTGGCATACTGGGTCAGTCCTCATAAAGTCCACTGATTGCACCCTTTCCACCAGCTCTGGGGCAGGAATGAGAGCAAAGCGAAGCCTCTTCATCAAATCAGGTGCATACTGCATGCGGGTTTCCCTGTCATGCTCCAGCCATAGTACAGACATCTGAAAGAGAGCAAGTTCAGACTCCACTGGGGGTGGCAAAGAGTCCAGCATGGAACGCATCTCTTCAAAATTGAGCAGCAACACATCCTCCACCAGATACTTATTGGCCAGCTTCTTGGTCTCCTCCAGGCCATGCAAGGCAGCAATTTTGCACACCTGCTTGTAGTTCTGCACTGAGATCTGATCATTAAGAAACTGTACACATAGCTTTGTGACCTGAGGAATATGCAAGATCTTACTGACAGATAATACTTCCTCAACTGTATCTAAAGACAAGGTTACATTGGCCGTATAGAGATACTCCAGCACCAAACGCAGCCCAATTGAAGAACAGCCTTGCAATACCAGGTTATTGATGGCCCTGGGGCTGACCAGCAACTTATCATCAGGGGAGGAAGAGGGTGTCCCAGGCTCCTCTGACTGCTGTTGCTGATCCTTTGGGACAGAAGACAGACCATCCTGGACAGGGTGGCTGGAAAAGAGAGATCTGAAGTACTGGGAGCAGGATGCAAGCACTGCTTTATGACAGTGAAACTGCTGTCCTTGTGCAGTCAATGTCACGTCGCAAAAGAGCTGCTTTCGCCACAGGAGGTTCAAACCATGCAGCAGATTGTCACTATGGCTCGGGTCAAATGTAGAAGTCCTGTCCCCCGATCTGGACATGGCGGGCCTCACGTTTTACCTGTTGACCAAACCTAGAGGAAAAATGACATTAAAAAACTCAGCAAGAGATTTAGAGTGCATAGCAAAGTCATATTTAAACCAGCCAGCTACGGCATATAAGTTGTTGTGATAGACTGAAGTGCTTTAATGCTAGTAGCATGACACGTGTCATATCTGGTTTAATAACATAATAATAAAGTATGTTTCATAAAGCAGGAACATATAGGACAATAGTACAGATTAATTTATTTTTTTAATTAAGCATCCTGTATCTTGCTCACTTCTCTGCCATGAGATCATAGAGGTCACTGCTAACAGGAAACAGACAACTCAGAGGAACAGCACTGCCATCAGGTAGTTTGGTGGTATGTGTGTGGATAGTATTTGTAAGGGCACATATGTACGCTACATTATTACAAAAAAATATATAACTTTCACTCATATATATAACATTGAGAAACTTTAGCTTTTCCTTACCACTCTAAAGAACCTATTTTAGAGACTGGTTTTCTTTATGTGTGTTTTTATAGACTTAAAATATATCAAACTTAAACCCGGCAGGGCATTGATTAAAAGGGGACTCCACTTTTTAAACATTTCTGGTAAAGTTACCTTTAAAAGGCAGGACAGCAAAATAATCAGCTTTGTACATAGTACCTCTCACCTTACTTACCTCTTGTATAAGTCCTGGAAGTATCAACTGTACCCAGGGGGAAATGATTTGTGCTGACATAGGAAACTATAGATACAGTAGAACATGGTATCTATAGGAACATGACAGTCAACTATAAATAAATGTACAGAGCAGCTATTGACAAACCACCAGTGCAACCAGGAAAAATATTCACTTTTCCAGGTCAGCGTGTTGGATACTCCAAAATCCCGTACAGACATTTTTAAGAATAAGTTATATCATTTATACTTTTACATAGATGATAATCTTACTGTCCTTAAAATATTTCATATTTCTTAAAAAGGTGTATTAATACTTTAAGTACCAATTTCAAGCTGTAAAACGACAGATCCCTAGTTTTCCCTGACAAAAAAAAAGGAACAATAACATATTTTCATTTAAATAGTTTGATTAAACATAACCCGGACTCATTTGTGATGGAGTTGTGGCAGTTCCTAACTAAACATGGCGTAGAACAAATGTCTAAATCATTTACAGGACCCGTAATAACGTGCAGCATACTGACAAAGCTGATTTGTTATTCTGGTCAATGAGGAGAAAAACATCAGGATGTGATCAACTGACAACCCGGTGACAGTTTCCCAACAGCTTGGTTTACTAACTGACGTTGAAGACATTGAGGAACATAGTGATATGAACATTCCAACAGCTCTTCCAGCTGCCCACAACTTTGAAATGTTTTAGTTACTGCTAAGTTTAGGTGTGATCAGAGAGGTGGTCCCTCCTATTCACTCCTAGTAATGCTGAACTGTCTGACAACATGATATTTTCACTGGAACCCCTGTCTGACGGAACTCTGCATATTCACCTGCAACTCATCCATCAGTCATTGTCCCAACCAGGAAAAGGTGGCCCAGGACTAACGAATTAGCAGCAGCATGTTTTACTAGCAACGGATCTACCCTGTCATAAATTCATATACGTGAGATGATAAGTGATTCTATTATTGTACATCACATTCTCTATGACTAATTACTTGTTTATGCTGAAAACTTATAATTTTCCACTCCACTCCATGCTCCCATGAATAAATAACAGCCCTGTATGCCATCCCTTTAACATCTCTACAAGTCATCACACGGGCACACTTTTGCTACTAACATGCCTAAAATGCCACAACTGTATGCGTGCTAGTCATCCTAGTAAATTCCCAGTTTACCGAGCACGACAATTCTGGTATTCCTTGACTAAACAGATTAGGGATACCTATTTCCACTTTCACTCTACTAGATCCATGTTACACATAGCCAGCACATACATTTTACCTAGGCATTGGCTTCTGTACTTCCAAAGGAACAATTTGAAAACAATCAGAGGCATCTCTGCCAGAGAAAAAGAAAACGCACTTTTTAGTTTCTACTGAAATGCCAAAAAAAGTTGAGTTAGAATCTCTAGTAGGAAAGAGGGGATCAGACAGCTAGCTGGCTGTAAGAGGAGAGGCATCCACAAGGCTCAGCCGCTCATCCCTTCTCCTGGATATTAGAGACCCTCGCAGTACAGATGCCTCGCTGGTCCCGCTGCACTGCAGATCTGCCTTGGGTCCCATTGTTGTAACATTTTTCCTTACTCTCCGGACTGCAATGCCTTTTTTTCTTTGACAACCCCTCTACCAGCAGCCAAGGGGTTAATAGCACTTGTAGTATCCCATACTACTTTGGCCCCCTCTTCTCCAGCATGTTGCCAGATAAACAGCGCATTAGCAAAAGGATCTCCCTGGACACGGTCGCTCTCCTCCTCCCCTCTGCCTATCCCTTGCCCATCTATTATTTCTTTATTACAGGCATTTATATAGCGCCGACAATTTACATAATGCACATTCACGTCCGGAGGAGCTTACAATCTAAGGTCCCTATCTCACATTCTGGGGAAAATTCAGGCAGAAGTCAGTTAACATACCAGCATGCCTTGGAGGAAATCCACACAAGCACGGGGAGAACATGCAAACTCCGCGGGTGGGATCCGAGCTGAGGACCCCGGTGCTCCAAGGCAGAAGTGCTAACCACTATTGTTTTATTTAAGAGTTTAGTGGCAACAATTGACCCCCCTCCCTCTATGACCAGCATGGACACACAATGCACACACACAGGGCCACAAAACTTACCTGCCTGGGAACAGATGTCAAAGTCTAGGCTCACTTTAGCTTCCCACCCCAAAGAGGACTGAACTCGGTCCTTCTACAGGCTGGAAAAAAATAAAGAGAGAGAAGGAGGAAACCCCAAAGAGTCCCCCAAAAACTCCAGGCAGTCAGTCTCCACTATTTCTTCTTTTGCTGTACATCATCTGATCATGGTGAATTAGAAAGGAGCATTGTAGGAGGGAGAGAGGCAGGAGAGAAGGAGAGAGGGAGAATGAGCAGAGCTTTCTGCAAGAGAAGAAGAAGGGGAGAGGGAAAAAAAAAATGTACGTGTGACAAATTATGCTACCAAGAAACAACACATCATTATCCTTGGGCCTGGGGCTCAGTGAGTCGTAACGAGAGTAATAGGAAATCCACGGTTGGGGAGAGAAACGGTCGTGCATGGCCAGTGGAGAGAGACCATGCGAGGGGGATGGATGCCGAGGAGCCTCGCAAAATTATGGCTCAAGGCTATTGTAAAAATTGTCGAGCGTAAATGACTGCGATTTCAAACATCTTTGGAAGAAAGAAAAAGGGGGGAGACCGGAGCCCTCTCCCCCTCCCCTTGTCCTCCTCCTCCCTTTCCCCATCCCTCTCTCATCTCTCTCTCTATAAAGAACCGTCAAGTTTTAGTGCGCATTGCTAATTAGTCAATTTCTCTCTGCCTTCACAGGCTGGCGACTTTGCTGCTGAGCCGAAACTGCTAATTTCTGCGACCAGTTTTTTCTTTTTTTTTTAGCTGTGATCTGGATGAATGAGTAGCTGTCTCCTGAAGATGACAAAAAATAAACTCTTATCCCATCCCTCCCCGCCCCCTCCTCAAACACATATACAAAAAGCAGAAATTGCCACCACATCCTTGTCATGTATAGATTTATGATGTGGAAGAAGCTCAGCCCATGTGCAAACTTTCTGTGTGTGTGTGTGTGCTGTACTACTAGATGACCCCCCCCCCACCCCCCCTTCACATGATATCCTGGAAGTGGAAAAAATGAAAGCTGAGCAAAGAAAAACAAGAGATAAATATTTACATCTGAGCATCTATGTTTAACGAGCTTCAAAGAAGAATACACATCCCTCTTTAAAAAAAAAAAAAGTACCCTTGTAGTTAGGCTACTCCTGCTCTGCAAGGGTTAAACTAAGGAGTTCAATCTTAAAAAGACATTCAAGTACAGTGGTACCTCAGTTCATGAACTTAATTCGTTCCACGATTCTGAACCGTATTGGTTGCGAACCGAATCAAACTGTGATCAGACCGCGATTTGGACTAGAGGAAGCCACAACCAGTGTCAGAGCAGGGAAGATGGCTCCGGGGGTGTTTTCGTCACCCGATGCGGAGTATGCAAACGGAAGCAAAATTTTGCCGAACTTCCTGTTCGCGAACAGAAGTGTTCGTGAACCGAGGTACCACTGTACCTTAAAGTGGTATTAAAGTCTCTATTTTTTTCTACATATATCAACTGTTAGCAAGCAGCAGATATATGCAAAAACATTTAAAAGAAAGAAAAAAGTTGGCAAATAGGTAAAAACTTACCTCTGTCTGTGCCGCACCGCCCGGCTGCAGAATCCAACTTCCTGAACGGCTATGCAGGAGGAAGTGTGGGTGGGCACATGCGCAGTCGATATCACCAGAGGGGAGAGGAGGAGAGACACAGTATCAGTAAATGCAGGCAGCCGGGAGCGTGCAAGCTGGACAGACTCTGTTGGACACAGGAAGAAAGAGGAGTCTGGGATGGATCAGAGGGACTTTTTGAAACCAGTGGAAGGAAGAAGATGTTCGCATCAAGAGGCTGGCCCTCTGATATGCCTGAGCAGAGAGCTGCATCTGCTGCGGCCGCCAGTCTCACTGATCACCTGGAGCCCACATTGACCACCTGGAGCCCATACTGATCTCCAGGCGCCTGCACTGACCACCTGGAGCCCATACTGACCACCTGGAGCCTGCACTGACTGCCTGAGAGCCCCCACTGACCCCCCGAGATCCCTCACTGGCCCCCTTCAGAGCCCGCACTGGCCCCCTGAGAGCCTGCAGAGGCATCAGGCCACATACCCGGAGCAACAGAGAGTATGTAGGTTCATATTATTCTGCACTGCTCCATAAAGTATTGCTGGGATTTGTAGTCCTCTATAGCTGATGGTATTATTCTGCAGGGCTTTACAATGTATTGCTGAGATTTGTAGTCCTCTATATCTGGTGCCATTCTGCAT